GCCCTGGGTGGAGAAGGATTTGAAGGCCAGCTGGCCTCCATGGAAAGAGTGCGTTGAGTGATTAGTGATGTCTGCATGGTCAGGGATAGAAAATCCCCCAGCACATGTTATGATGGTTCTCCTCGGACCTAAACGTCAAGCAAAGCCAGGATGAGTGGTGGGCAGTTAGAGTAGGGAGAGAGCCCACACAGAGATGGGGTGGCTGGAGAAGGCTTTCTAGAAGGCACCAGGGCACAAATAGAATGACTTAGAATAAAGGAAAAGATATCTTTCTGGGAGTGGTTCACTTGTGAAACTAGGTTTCAGGCAGATGCACTTTGTTTTGCATGCTTTCATTTTCCTCATTAGCAGTTGTACAGGGGCTGGCTGCTCCATGAAACCCTCTGCCTAGCTTGTTGCTACCTGCTAGATTTAAGGTTCTGGAGAAGTTGTAAGGCTGTGTGACAACTCTCCCTGACTATTCATGGTATACAAGCTTTTAAAAAGCAAACCTACTTAAGATTTGTGAAACAGCTTTTTACCTTGAACACTCTCATTAGTTAGAAGTAGCTTCCTAGAACACTGTGTTGAGGATTCTGAAGCTATAGGTAAGCTCTGTAGGAGAAGTGTGCCGCAATTGATTAGCAATGTCTGCTGAGGGCCCTGGAATGGGAGCAAAACACATTAAGTGTATTGGCTTCCAGTGAACCAGCTAATAGCCTCAGAAGGAGAAGAGCTGGTGTGAAGGAAAAATACTTGCCACAGGCTTCATCCTACCCCTGGTTCCTCTGATACTAGTGTGTACATCTTTTGGACTGGTTTTCCTATCTACAGAGAGGGTGGACTCTTCTTCCTGCATGAAGGAAGGAATAGAGTTGAGACTGGCTCAGGAGTGGCAGGGTACCCTTGAATGTGCCTGGGTCTAGGGTCTGATGCCACACAGGCCCCCCACCCCTGCAACACACATTCCACCCCTTTCAGGCCCTGCACCCATCCTCATTCCAGCATTTCTATCCTAGGGGTCCCTATCCAGAACCCCTGTCTGTCAGCCACTGCTATGATCTCTCCTATAATCACCTTTTCTGGAAAGGGCCCAATATAAGCCCCCTGTACCTATATGAGGCCATTTCTATAACAGGTGTTATTTTTAGGGATGAGGGAGTCTGCCGATACTCCCTCTCCTAGGAGAGCGTCTCAATGCCTGAAGAATGAGTCACAGACAGTGGGAGGGAGGGGAAGTGACACCAGTCTTCTTATCTGTAAAATGGGGTAATGAGAGCGCCAATCCCGCTGGGAAGCTGGGAGGATCAAGAGCGCCGCACTCTGCTACACATACACGTGATAGTCCTGTTACATCTGTGATTATTACGAGGGATGGGGAGTCTGCCTGGTATCCTGCAGAATTCCCCTTGAAGGTGGTGGGTGAGCTCTTCCTCTGCTCCCCTGGGCCCACAAAGTAGATTTGGCTACTTTTAGTTCCTTCTCTCTCTCTCTGCACACTGCTGTCAGCTCTAGTTGTCATCTGATTTTCTCCATTTGGGACATTCCAGTGTCTTTCTTCACAGCAAGCAAGTCAAGCAACAGGCAGCTGGAGTGCTCATTAAGGGTCCCAGACCTGAGAGAGGCACTGATGGGGGAGGGGTGCTGAGGTCCGGAAACTGTACTTCTGGCTCCCCACCCCTTCCGGCTGCTGACCCACCTGACCAGTGTCATTGCCCCAGCCTGTCCTCCCTCCTGCCTGGCACACGTTCACTCTTTCTCCCCAACTTGCTAAGAGTGCCCCTGCCTCAGTCCATGGCGCCTCCTAAGGGCTCACTGGGTCCTGACTTTGGCCTTTGCTGGTGGCACTTCTCAGTGCCCCCCCCCCCAAGCTGCCATCCCCAAGGGTCTCAGAGTGGAGACATGGTGCAGCTTATAGGGCTCTCCGGAGGCCACATGGCTGGCACAGCTCCTAGAATCTTGGGTTTGGCCCCCTGAGCTCACCAGCTGCCCATGTGCCCCGTGAGAGAGGGGACCCTCTGGACAACCACGATTGACACCAAAGCTACGTGGCCTCTCTCTTCCACCTGTCCCTCTCCTCACCTGCTCCTGCCCACCCCACAGGCCTTGTCTCACCCCTTACTGCCCTGTACTCTTTGCTCGGATCTAAGGACACTCCTGGGAAGGGAGAGGCCAAGGGTGGCTTCCCTCAAGCAGCTTTGGGGACATCTCTGCAGGCCTAGAAGTTGCCCCTGGAACAGTGCCATTGGAGAGGACTTCCTGCGGCAACAGATAAGGTGTGGGATCCACTACCTTGCCCAATGTGGCAGGCGCGAGCTATCCTGGCTGCTGAGCCCCAGAAGTGGGGCTTGTATGACCAAAGAACTGAAATTTAAATCTCAGTTAATTTTAATTAATTCACATATAAGAAGTCACACATGGCTGGTAGCTACAGAGTGGGACGCATGTGATCCTAAAGTGTCCCTCTGGGAGCCCCAGGACTATAGGCCCCACACCCACTTAGGCCAGACCTCTGCCCACAAGACTGCCCTCCCTCTGACCCCCTTTCCCTGCCAACCTCAGGTTCCCAGGCTATGGCCCCCGTGTCCAGTTCCCCCACCCCTGCCTGTGTCTCCCCCAGTCCTGGTCATGGCCCCTGGGCTTGCAACAGCTTCCAGTTCGGCCTCGCTCATTTGCCCACCTTCAGCTCTCATTCTAGGGACACAAGTGCCCTCTTCAAAGCCCTTCAGTGGCTCCCTATTACCCTCATGTAGATCTAACTGTCTCTAACACCCTCTCGACCTGGGCTACCCCATTCTCTCCACATCTTTCTCCCCAACTGCCAAGGTCTTGGACTTTCTTCAGCCCGAGGCAAACCCCTCCCTCTGGCTCCAGCCTCCAGAAGCTGTCCCTTTGGCCCTTAGTGTAAAGCCCCACACTCACTGCCTCTGCCTGCCAAACTCCTATTTACCCTTTAACTAATCAGCTAAAGATCACTTCCCCAGGAAGCCTTTCATGACTGCTACCACCAAGACACTCCACTGCACGTCATGTATTTCCCTGGCCCCTCTTTTCCATTTATTGTTGCATTTTCCATGCGACATGGTCACAGCCCATTTACTTTCTGTGCCCCATTTGCCATGACATGTAGGGGACAGAAGTGTGTCTCCCACAATATCTGACCCCTAGCTGGCTCTTAGTGAACACTGGCAGGACGCAATGGAAAGTGCCCTGTCCACAGGGTCTGCGAACCTAGGTTCTGGTCTCTGATCTCATCACATGACCCTGAGCAACCTACTGCCCTTCTCTGGGCCTCAGATTTCCCATTTTAAAGTGAGGGTCACTTCAGATGATCTTTGGGGGTGACTTTTAGCGCTGGCAGATGAGGAGGTCCAGAAGTCAGCAGGGCATACATGGTGCCAGGGTGAGGAGAGGGTACAGCAGTCAGCCCCATGCCCTCAGTGTCAGGAAGATGGGGTGGGCAGGGCCCACCTTGACCTCTGCAAGAGGATGGCAAGCGTTTAAGCTCCAGGGTCAGGCACAGCCAGGGCCCCTAGGCACCAATCCCCTCTTCCCCGCCAGCCAGTCCCATCTGCACACTCAGCCAGCCAGCAAGGCCACTGCTCCTCCTGCTGCACCCAGAGCCTGCCCCAGGCCCAGGGGACCAATAGGGCAGACTCTCCAGGGGCTGGTGGGCATGGGAATGAGCTGACAACAGCAGCTGTGGGCACCAGTAACACCAGTCACTGCCCTGTTGTGCCCACTCTGCCCTGGTTCACGTCCTTCCCTTCCTTGACCACCCTGAGGAACTCTAAGGGACAAGAGGCCCTTGAGAGAAGCCTGGCTGTAGGGAACCAGTGTGTCTGATCAGAATGTCCACAGCACCCGCCAGTTAGAGCTGGGGTCCAATATTTGCCACCACCACCAGCATGCTGCAAGCTCAGAGAGGTTAGTCGTAGGCCCAGGCTGCACAGCTTCCAAGTAGCAGTGGGGATAAAAACCCAGGTAGCTGCAGGCCACTACCCTGCTCTTCACAGCTCTACCCCACCTCCTGCTAAGCCAGAGACCCTTCCACACCAGAAATTTCCAGTCCAGCCTGCTCCAGGAGGGCCCCCAGACTCGGGCTGTCACCCTCCTGTCCTGCTCCGTGGGGGCTGGGTCCTCTGTGCCCCCCCTACCCCGCTCCCCACATGTCCCCAGGCCTCACCCTCTCAAGGCCCAACCTTTCCTCTGGTGGCACAAGGAGACCGCGCGCTCTCCTTCCTGGGGAGGCTGGCGCCTTCTCGGGCAGCCTCAAGATTGCCAGGGCTGAGAGACACACTGTTAGCTTCCAGCCCACTTAGGGTAAAAGAAAGCTCAGCATCCTTTTCCCAGAAGGTGTTGGGGACCATTCCAGAGGCGCCCGAGTAGAAGACCCCACTGAGGATCAGGAAAGCACAGGCTCACTTGTGTCCCAGGAGAGCAGGGACAGGCGACCCACATTCGGGTCCTAGAGGCTTAAGCAGCAGCAAGGACCAGAACGCTGCTTCCAGCAAAGACTGCGCCCTCTGGCCCAGCCCGGCACACTTGGCCGATCCCTCCTCCTCTCCCCGGCCGGCGGTCGCCCTCACAGGCCCGTACCACGGCTCGTGGGGGCAGGGCCAGGGCGCAGTGCAGGCTTCCCGCCGCGTGGGCGCGGGCGGCTCGCACACCGCGCGGGGCGAGGGGCTAAGAGCAGCCTGCCCGCCTCGGCGCGGCTCCGTGCGCCCTGCCCTCCTCCACCTGCACAGGCGCGACTAGGGCGCTCCAGAGCCGGCTATCGGCCGCCGGACTCGCCCGGTCTGGGGCGGGAACCGAGGTCACGCTGCTGCCGCCCCTGTGCTCCGGGTCCCCGGCAGGGCCGCGTCTGTCTGTGGCCCAGGTCCTCCCGCAGACAACTGGTGCGAACTCGGGGCGCACCGCGCGGTGTGGAGAGCGAGCGCCAGTCGGCCTGGGCCGGTGAAGTGTGGAGGCTGCGCGAGGGGGCGCCGCGGGGAGGATAAAAGCCAACAAAGAGCACAGACCTCGTCCAGCAGTTGGTTGACTCGTCCCAAAATAGCCGTCTCCATTTGCTGCTCCCCACGCTCCGCTTCCAGGCGCACCACCCGAGCCTGCAGCTCGGCTGTCCGAAAGTGGGCGAGCAGGCTGACCGCCAGCGAGCACAGGGCCAGCGCCAGCAGCCCGCAGGACCCGGGGCTCGGCAGCCGCGCGCAGTGCTCCGCCTGCACCACCGTCCCGGGCGCGCCCAGCTCTCCAGGCCCGCGGGCGCCGGCGGCTGCAGCTTTGCGGGCGCGCTCCGCCACCATCCCTTTGCGTCTTGAGAACCAATAAATAAATAAATAGAATAAATAAAGGCCAGAGCCGCTGCCAAAAAGCGCGGTCCAAACTGCGGAGTTGGGGGAAAGGGCTCGTGTTGCTGGCAAACGTCCCTTTCCTTTGCTCCGGGAAAAGAGGACCGGAAAAATTAGCAGTAGGAGGGGGAAAGCCAAACGTCACGACCAGCGGAAATCAGAGTACAACAAAGTGAGAAAAAAGTTATTTCGAAGAACGGTGGAAGTCCAGGAAAGTTAGGGGCATCTGGCCGGCTCTCCGCGCGCCGTCCCTTCCAGCGCGTGCAGAGTCCTTGGGTTGGTGCCGCGCAGTCGGTGCCGCTGGGCGTCTCGGCTCCCCCGGGCCAGCCAGTTTCAGTCCCCGGGCGCAGGGGCTTGCGCGGAGGGCCCCATGGGCAGAGGTGGGTCGCGGCCGCCGCCGAGGAGCGCTGGGGCCGATTCCGGCGCCTCTGTAACTTGACACACTCCCTGCGGCTGCACGGATCGGATGAGCAATCCGTGCTACTTCCCAAACTAATCTCTCCCGCCCCCTCCCTCCTCCTCCTCCTCCTCCTCCCCCTCCTGCGGGGCAGACGGCTTGGATTTGTTTATTTATGCAAACTCGCCCGGTGTGGGGGGCTTGGTGTGCGGGGCCCGCTGCCCCTGCCCGCCCTCCCGGGAGCCCCTCTCCCGCGCTCCCTGTTCTCTTTGAAGTGACACTTGGGGTTATTTATAGGCAGGAAGGGGGTGTGGATTGGAGCTGGGGCTGCGCTCCTCTCCCTTCTCCAGAGTCACGCCGAGGTCCCGTTAACCTCCCGCCAAAGTCGCACGGTCCTGCTGCACCGCACTCTGCTTTCCCAGAAGTTGGCAAAGCCTACCTTTGGGACGCTCCAGGCACCGGGCTGAGTCATTGACAAGGCGTCCGAACGGACCTCCGTGTCCCAAGCACGACGATCCAAGCCCCTCGCCTGACATTGTGCCCTACCTGCTGACTCCACCTTGGTCTCCGAACCCGAGTCCTGTAGCTCCTCCTGCGCCCTGTGGTGGTGGTGGTGGTGGTGGTGGTAGTGGCGGGGGGGGGGTGGGGGTTTATCTGCCAGCCATGTCTAGACTGGGTTGGGGGTGTGTGTGTGTGAAAAGACAGCCCTCTGGGGGCCAGCAGCCCTGACTTCCCTTTCTCTCCTTTAAAACCAGGACCTCACAAGATACAGGAGAAGAGGAGCCCCGGGTCGCATGCAGGGTGCAGGTCCTGATCTCTCCCCTTCCTGCTTGCATAGATTTGGGGCCCATATCATTCTCCCCTGTGCTGCTCTTAGCTCAGACTGCCCCTCCGTCCCAGCTAGCGAAGGTGAGCAGTCTTTACCCTCTTGGACTCCATCCCAGTGGGAGTCCTGCCTCCCTGCTACCTTCCTCCTTTCCCTTCTGCTGCCTTTTCCTATTCCCATTCCCTTAGAAAAAAGCTAGTGCCCTGAAGGGCGTTTTTGCATTTTCAGCTTTCACTCTTCTTTGTCACCTCCAGCCACTTTAAGGTTTGTGTCCCTCGAGACTTTATTTCCTTGTGCCTCTGGAGGCGGTGGGATTGGAGAAAGCCCGAGTGAGGCAGGGGAGAGAAGGCTGGCCCTTGAATGTGAAGAGGAGCTGGTGGAGACCTTTCATGGTAACATGGGGCCCACAAGCTTCATCCCTTACACGTGGATGGGAGTTTAATCTGTAACACAGTATCGCAGCACATCTGATAGACTCACATTTGAGAGAGTGGATTGAACTTGTAACATAGTATTTATGTCATGAGTGACACAAGCTGAGTGGAAGACTACCTGGAGAACAAGGGGGCAGAAAGGGCAGGGTGGCCAGGAACTCTAGGTTCCAGTCCCAGCTCTAGGATTTCCTTGATGTGCCTCACTGAGTAACTGCATCTTTATTTCTATGTCCCTACCCTGGCATGTCCTGTGACAGTCGATGTGCAGTGTACCAATCCTTGAGAACACAGAGGTATCAAAGACCGCTAGGGGACACTGGAGAGTTTCCCAGCTGGAAGGTGCAGGCAAGGAAATTCAGGGATTTGAGGCTTCCCCACTCCCCTCCAGGCCAGTATAGAAGAATTGAACTGGAAATTAGTTTCAATCCTTGTTATTCCACAGGCTGGTCTTTTCCTTTTCAGGTTTCCAGGGGCCCTTGAATGCTAAAGCAGGGGCTTAAACAGTTTGGGGCTATGGCAATTTTGTGACTGGGAGCTGAGGGAGGAGGGGGCCATGGTGGCATTGTGGGCCCCAACATTGGAAACATGTCCCAGCCCCAAAGTTTCCTGGGACCCTTGAAGTCAGAGAAACCCAGGGATAGAGCCTATTCCATTATGCTGGAATTACTGTCTCTGAGCCTCAGTTTTCTCATTTACAAAATGGACTTATAATAAAAGTATCTAACAATTTGGGAGGCCTTAGTAAGGAAATGCATATAAAGCACAGTGCCTGGTGTATAGTAGACACTCAATAAATGGTATTGCTGCTAGTGCAGGGCAGGACACAGCTACCTCTGGGCTCCCAGATGTGAAATGGGGAAAAAAACCTGTATCCTAAGAAGAAGCGAACAACTGGCAGTTAGCTTCTATTTTCCTAAAGCTGATGGCTAGCTTGTGACAAAGGAGACTTTCTCTGACATGAGAGGCCATAGATGTCCTGTTCCTTCTATGGCACTGTTTGAAATTCTGACTTCAGAGACTTTATCAGATTAAACACTGTCTTTCCCAGATAAGTGTTACAGCAAATTTGGCTTATCTTAAGCCCCTCTTTCTTCAGAGTCAGGGCCCTGACCCCGAGACTTAGAGATGAAAAGATCCTGGCTTCCAAGAACTCGAGTTCAGCAGGCAAACTAAGCCGTGTTGCCATACAACTGCCATACAAGGCAGAGCAGGCAATTGTGGTCAGGCCACAAGAAAGGGCCTCTGGGGTCCCCAGAAAGAAGGACAGGGATCTAGTGGTCCAGGAAGAGTCCCGGGAAATAAAATCTGATGTGCTGCAAGAAGGTAGAGGGTCAGAGTGCTAACTCTGTTCCGTGGTTGCAGTTATGCTCCTGGATAAAAATGGCCCCTCTGGGAACCGGGTGGACTGCCAAAGGAAAACAGCCTTGTGCACAAATCTGAACAGTTCTTCAGGAATTTTCTGTGATATTTTTGCCTCCGCATGTTTGTTGTTGCTGGACTGCCTGCCAGGCAGGCTGTCTTCTTCTCCTGTCCTCTGCCTTTTGCTCTGATCCTGGTTTTGTTGAATGAACCCCACTTCTCTTGCTCTCATCATGGTTTTTATATCACACTCTTTCCTCCTGAGGCCTGCATCATCCTGCTCCCGAGAGCCTGCCGTCCAGTCTTCCCTGAACACTGCTCTCCCGCCTCCAGTGTCAAAGGCAGTGGTCAGCCCTCCTGGGGACTTCAGGCCTTCTGCTGGGCTGTGCTGTCCACAGCTCTCACCTGGCTGCACAACAGAACCACCCATGGGGGCTGCAGGAAAACAGACAGTGGTGGTTTTACCTGACTTGAGCCCATTCCCTATTTTCCTGGCAACTGTGACTCAGTTTCCTTTGAGGACCCTCTCTGTCCATGTGGCTCTGGTAGAGTTGATCCCAATGTGGCCCTAGGGCATATGAACTAACCTAACCAATGAACCTTTTGGTTCTCCTTTGGCTATGTTGATTTGGTCAGAGATGGGCAGCAGCCCAGATCAACAAGAACCAGGCTGGACTGCTGGGGAAGGGACAGCTGTCTTTGGGAAGGGCTTTCTAACAGGGAGTCAGCTGGGGCTGCAGCATGCATCCTGCCACTGTTGGAAATAAGATGCAGCCTGAGAATGAAGCCAACAAGGAGGCAGTCAATGGTGAAAGACTGAGTCCTGAAGACATCAGAAGCCCATTGGTCTCACAAGATGGAAGCTCATCTGTGCCTATGATGTCAGTCTTCATTGTCAACTTGACTGGATCGGAAACATCTAGGAAATTAGTAAGCGCACTTCGTAGTGGGTCTGTGAAGATGTTTCCAGAGATGATCCATGTGTGTGACAGCAAACTGATGAGGGTGACCCACCTGAATATGGCGGGGGCCAAGATGGTACAAAAGGGGAAGGAGGGAACCCATAGCACAGGCTCTCTCTCATTCTCTGGTTCTTGGCCACCTTGAAATGAGCAGCTTTCCTCCACCACAACGTTTCTTCCTGACTCCAGGCATAGAAGCAATGAAGTCATTTAACCATGGACTAAAACCTCTGAAACCATGAGCCAAAATAAACCTTTCCTCGTCTAAGTTGTTTTTCTCAGATATTTTGTCACAGTGATGGAAAACTGACACAATGGCTGAAATTTCCACCCATGAGAATCAGTTTTGCTCAAACTGGTCTGAGCTGGTTTTCTTTTCTTGCAAGTCTGAGAGGTTTGAGTCACACAGAGGGCCTCATCCCACCTTACTGACCTTGAATCTCTCTGTGGTTGGTGGGAGGGGGTGGGAGGGAATCACAATTCTTATCCTGCTCACAAAAGTTCCCCAGGGACTGGAGGAACCTCCACGGTAGAGGCCCTGCCCTGCACACTGGGCTTAGGGTGACTTGTTCCTCCTGGGCTCATTCTCTTCTCTCTGCCTGTGACCTTTCCCATGTGAACTCATAGTTCACATTCCCCGCATTTATCACCCAGATCTCTAGCTGCCTTTGGGGCCCTGGGAGCTCCACTCCTTCCCCTTGCACGCAGCTTCTTGGCTCTTTCTGCCTCTCGCTCATTCCCCTAGTTCAGGGTATTGGCATCACCCTGAGGCTGGGGCCAGGAGTCTGTTCTGTCACTGTTCCCTCCTTCACCCAGTTGTGACTGCCCTGTAGATGCCACCTGAGTTTCTCCCAGTACTTCCCCCCTTTCTGCATTCTCTGCCCCTGAGGCCTGGACCAAGACCACATCTTACCCAGCCCCTCCTCTCCTGCATAGTGGCCACCACAAGCAACCCCCACCCAAGAAGCCCACCTGAAGGGGCTGGGCTGGGACCTGCTAGAACCTCTCCAAACACTCCAGACTTCCCATGGCATAGTTCTTTCCAAAGCTTTGTGGTCTCTGGCCTGAAGGCCTAGCTCTCCAGCTCTTCTTCTAACTCTTGTGTGTGGTAAGCAACACAAGAGAAGGGGCCTGGGCCCCTAGTGGCTTTGTGGGGTCAAGTAGCACACAAATCTAGACTCTCACATGAGTGAGAAGTCACCTAGCTCCTGGGAGCCTGGGCCTGTCTTCTGTAACCTGAGCCCTATCCTAACTAGACCTGAGTCTGACCCTGAGGCTTTGAGCTCTTAGGTGCAGGGCTGCCTGTGTCCACCCATGTGCCTCCAGCACTCAGCATGGCGCAAGGCCTTAGGAATAGCGATGGGAATCAGTGAGCATGTGCATGATAATTGATGGGGGGCGGGTTGCGTGGAGGGTCTGGCTCTTTCCTATCTCTGCACCTCTACTTCCTCTTGTGTAACATGTAGAGATTAATGGGCAAGGAAGGGAAAGAAGTGGATGGCTTAAAGCCATCC